TTATAACAAAGAAATAACACTAGTATCAAATATTTCGAGCCATCAACAAAAATTAATGTAATAAATAATGGCAATTAAAAAAGCACATTATGATGCCATCAACATATATAATAATTATTTCATTGTTAACTACATATTAAATTAATATACTATATTATACATTATTTCTGTCGCATATTATCCTCGATCTCTCGACCTCATGGATAATGTCTCCATTAAATATTTCGAATTGTGGTAAACAAAAAAAGATATCGCTAGACATGGCGATTAATTTATGCATGATCTTACAGCAAACACTTATCGCAAGACAAAATATCTGCAATCACTGATGCTTATGCGATGTTACTAGGTTGGAACGGGTTATTTCACGACTCTCGTTCATCTTGAACTCAAGTTTGCTACTACAAAATGAGGACATTTCATAATTCAATGAACTATATATCATAATATATATCGTATATTAATCACAGCTATGCATCATATAGTGATTACAGCATACATGCAATACTTCACAAAATGCTTAACACTAATCAATTATTAGATATAAAACTAATGTTCTACAATCTTTTTATCTTAATTTTTGTGAAAAATTGTGTGATCAGTATATGAAAAATTCGTCTACTTTTGTCTACTTTAGCGCACTATGATTATAATTGATTATAATTGACACAAATAACTTTTGAAATACAATTAACTAAAAACGAGATAAAATAAATTAATTGCTGGATTACAAATAAAACTTTATTGTTTATTTCAATCCTAAAAAGAAATTTTTTAAATATTAATAAATTATTAGATAAATAATTTATAAAATATAAGTTTAAAATATTTAATTATTGAATACTAGAAATACAAAATATAATAAATAAGATAAAGTTAAAATAATTGGTTTTGACAGATACGCAAGATAATATAATAGTAGATTTGAAATTATATAATTATTATGTTTGTGAAGATACTAATTAGTCATAAGAGATAATACACATAAACATTACTATTAATTGAACTTAAAATAAAATATATTTCTCGCCGAAAAATCGTGATATTGTTAAAATCTACGATTCACGTAATTATCCACGGGCTTTCTATATGATGTACTTCGAGAAAGCCGGTCTCGATACGTCAAACGAGATGACGCTGGATAAAGCTTGTGTCTGGCTCCACTATCGATACATTAATTAAAACATTGATGCTCGGCCGTGACTGGCAGCAAACTCACGCCCAGATTCAATCATTCGAATATAACGTCGCACTTTTATTTTGCTCCTGTCCTACCACTCGATATATCTTATTCTTCTTTTACGACATTTATTTTTTCTACGAGCCTATAAATTTTTTTTATTCTGTTTACCTTTGCAAAATTTTCTTAGAAATTTTTGTAGAAATTAATTAAAAAATACACTAAGAGAATATTTAATTTACTCAAATAATAATAATCAATAATTTTTCAGATTCAGATTCCTTTCGTAAATCTATATCGCTTGCATGTTGCTGTTATACCACTAAAATAAATATTAACAATAATTTTATATAAATCAGACTACGTAAAGTAGATTCATTTAAAATGTATACAATTTTCAAATATACATAAATATATATTACTTTTAAAATAGAAAATATATTCCGTTAATTATTTATTATAAAACCATAATTTAAAAATATTTAACAACATATATAACATATTAAATTATCAATCTTTATTTTCATTAAAACAATTATTAGCATAAATTTGATTAATCCTATACTTCAACACGGACATTTGATTAATTTTAAGATTTAAACACTTGGTGTGGGAATGGCAGGAAATCCCTGTACGGACCTCACCCCACCAGTTGCTTCGAAATTACATCACTTTGTGTATAGGTACGCGCAGTGTGGGACAAATCTCAACCCCCGGCGGACGCGCCGGGGGCGGTAGCGGACGATTTCCGAGAGACGCGGAGAATAGGGTAGTATATTTTACCCTCGGAGAAGGGCGCGTCTCCAAGGGAGGAGTCGGGCAGCGAGGATGCCGCCGAGGAGGCGGTGGAGGAAAAGGGACGAAGAGAGGTATCGGGACGTGGCGTGGGAACGGAGGGAGAGAATACTCGCCACCCCTCTCATCGCCGACTCGTTCATCGGAAGGGGAAGATGAGTTTTGCAAACCAGAGAGATCGTCGACAACGAAAATCGTCGTCGTCACTTAGTCGTTTCTCGTTCATTGACACGCGTGGGTTTATTTTTTGATCTTAACGTAAAACACATCGACGAGTTCCTTCAAACGATTTGCGATAGAAGGAGAAGAAGTTTTTCTAACATTTTTGTTCTGACATAAATTCACATTAATTAATTTGTGTTACGTAAAAAACTTTGCTGTTAATGTTTCTTGTCGACAGACATTATCATAATTTTGTAATTTCTTGTAATAATCTTGTAAAAGAGTGCGGAAAATACCATAAAAGAATCGCTTCCGATGTGCTTCTGATTTTTAAAAAACTCTAGAAATTATCAATTATTACAATTTATCAGTTATTACGTTTTGACATATTATGAAATGAATACCGTATCCCGGAAAAATTGTCGAATTTCTACTTACATGAAAATCTCCTACGATGGTGGAGGTAATACATCCTACGTATGTGAACGAAGAGCGAGGTTTCAAAGCGGTGAGTACAATAAATTATATAAAATAATTATATTATTATATTGCATTATCGAAATTATTCGTATTACACGTGTGTAAATATTAGTACATAATTAGTACGAAATATATGAATGATCTATGTATCTATTCTGTACGACTTAGTTATTCTTAAAAGAAGCTTTTTAAACTAAAGAAAATCATATAATAACATCGATTATGTAAATAATAAATTAAATTAATAGCTTAAATAATTTACGTTTAAATAATTTAGCCATAGTGTTATTAAACTGTTGAGTTGCAAAATCTATAAAAAGTGTATGTTTGTGCGCCGTGAAGTACATTTAAGAGATTTCAAAGGTACGTACATGTCAAGATAGAAAGAAGCCAAAGAGGAGTCTTTTCAGTCGAAAATGGAGAATCTTTAATGCCCGATTCCACCAACGTAGATTAACTTCAATCTCTGTTCAACTTCCTCTTCATTCTTTTCTAGTTCTAAGAATTAGAAAAAAGATGAAGAGCAAGTTAAATCGAGAATAAAGTAAATCTACTTTGGTGAAATCGGGCATAAGTCGAACAAACTAACGTAAGGAATGCGTATGAAACTCACGAGAAACCGGAGTAATCGAAGGAGACAGAGAGGCATACGATTCGCGGGATGAGAGGCTGAGACCGGAGGAGAGAATCGAGTAGGAAAAGAGGGAATGTGCAAGACGTCCGACGCGAAGGGAGAAGAGGGTGCGCCCCGCAAAGGGGGAGCCCAGGAGGAACGAGGGGAGACCGTCCGTGCCCCACTCCCGCTGACCCTCTCTCTCCCTACCAAGGCTCGTGTCGCGTGTCCCATCTCCCACTTCTCTTCTCTGCCGACACGTACACCGACACTACCGTCGCGTTGCCGCGAATCCGGTGTACCCACACGCGCGATCGCGCGCACCCATGTGTGCATCTGCAAGTGGTTTTGCTGCAGTTGGCCGCGCATTCGTTCCGAGGGAAAACGCGCTATTCTCTCGGCTATGAAAGGAAGAGATAGAAATAGGGTGGCCCGCGCGACCTGACGGGATTGGAGGGGAACGCGGGGCAGGGGGGCTACTGTCATGCGTGCCGGAGATGCACGCGCGCGCGTGCACGACGGTGTGTCGGCGTCCACGCGTGTGATGAAGAGAGAGAGAGAGAGAGAGAGAGAGAGAGAGAGAGAGAGAGAGAGAGAGAGAGGGAGAGAGAGAGAGAGAGAGAGAGAGAGAGAGAGAGAGAGG